AGACTCACCCCTAAAATCCTAAATACCCTATACTGTATAGGGTTTAGGGCTTAGGCTTTGGGGTTTGGGGTTTAGGGACCCTATACTGTATAGGGTTTAGGGCTTAGGGTTTGGGGTTTGGGGTTTAGGGTATACAATACTACAAAGTTGCCAGATCATCCCGATTTTACCCAGCAATTCAGGGGCGACACCGGGAGTGTTGAATCGCAAATGCCTTAAGCCGGAGTAAGTAATTACCCATGTTCTCCCTAGGGTTCCTTGTTCAGTCCATCTTACACCCCAAAATCCTACTCTCATTGCTATACTAAGGGCGCTCCTCCAAACTGAAACCCCCTTGGGGTTCCTTGTTATGTCCCATCTTACACCCCCAAAATCCTACTCTAATTGCTAAGGCCCCTCCTCCAAACCGAAACCCGCTGCAACAACCTAGCAGCCACCTCGTCACGAAACCCTTAAAGTTCTTAAGGGACACCCTTGAGGACCCTAGATGTCACACCCCCGGAAGCCCTCCTTGAGCTGCTTCTTTTAAAGGAAACTACAGGTGGGGAGTTTAGGGTATGTAGCGCTTCTATAAGGCTTCTACAAGGTATATATAGACCTTCTATAAGGCTCCTCCGACGGTAACTACCCACCTGAAAATGTCCGAGACTGCTTTTGCCACAGACCGATCTGAGTTAGGAAGTCTCGGCATGACACTGGCAGAGGAGCAAGGCGGTTGCTTGCCCCGGAGGTGCATTGAACTTTCTCATGCGGGTATGCATAATGGAAAGAGAAGAAGGGAACAAGACCCGCATAGGGGTCTCAAAACTTTCACCGCTTCTGGGTGTTCGGACGGTGTAACTGGCAGAAGAAATTGAAAGACCAGATGCTCTGGCACTCCGTGCCATTCACGATGTCCGGCTAGAAGGCGACATTGTGCCTGCCGTCTCACACTAGACCCTAAACCCTGAACCATAAAGAACAACACCTAATATAGGGGCCTTACTTGTAAAAAATAGAATAGGGTTTTGGGGCCCAGTATGCCATAAAGCATAACAAGGAACCCCCCAAAAAAATAGCATTGGCAATTATTTAGACCCCTACATTACGCCCCAAACCCTGCCTGAGGCTTTACGCAGCATCTGCAGCTCTCTCTTCAACGTGCGACTTCCTGATGCCGAAGCAGCGCTCAAAGTCCAAAATCCTGGCTTGTAGATACTGGGCTCTTGTTAGGTGATGATAATTTAACTTACCATAATAGGGATCTACAGTAAATTATATGGGTTCCTTTTTATGGTAACTTAAATTAAATCCCTAAACCCTAAACCCTAACTCCCTAAACCCTAAACCCTAAATCCCTAAACCCCTAAATCCCTAAACCCTAAACCCTAAATCCCTAAACAAGAACCCAGATTCGGGGCTTAGAGGTTCCTTTATAAAGGGTTCAGTGTTGAAGGTTTAGGGTCTTGGGGTTTAGGCTTTTAGGGTGTGGGTTTAGTATTTAGGGTTTAGGGAGTTAGGGTTTAGGCGTTTAGGATGTGGATTTAGGGTTTAGGGTTTAGGGTCTTAGGGTTTAGGCTATTAGGGTGTGGGCCCAGATGACGGACAAAGACTTATCTTTCCTCAGGTCGCTCCTTCGAGCAACACGAAAAAATGAAAAAAAGGGCTTCCTATTCTGCCTAGGGTCTTGGACTTGGGTGCCTCGGAACCCTCGGAGGCATAGAACTCGGAGAAAGCGTGCTTAAAGTCGTTGATGTTCTCACGGCCTGTCTTCTGCAGGCGACTTGGCGGTGAGCCCGTGATCCAGAGGTATACCTTGCTTCCCCAATACCAGACAGAACCAGTGGACACTTTCAAGACACTAAGGTTAAGGATTAATGACTGTACGGCTTTAAGAACAAAACATGCTTGTGGAGGCCTAAGGTACTGCCTCCGGCCAGGAAAGGTTCAAAGCTCTCCTGGCCAACCATCCTAATAACTCAGTTACAACCCTAGACCGTCATCCCTACACCCTATAACCACTCTAATCCCTAAACAAAACACTTCTAAAGCCAACACCCTAAACCCTAGTCCCTAAACGCACAAACCCTATAAACCCTAAAATCCATGAAGCCCTAAACCCTACGGGATTTTTGGAGTCCCACAGTCCTACCCCCCCCCCCTAATTAAAGGGTATCGGGCTCTTTGAGTCTCTGGACCCTATAGTCCGTATAAACCCTATAATCCCTACAAGCCCTATAAGCCCTAAGTTTAGGGTTTAGGGTTTAGGGAAGCCCTAAACCCTGAACAGGTCCTGGCCAGCCAAGGGTTCAGCGGGCCGAGCCCCGAGACGAAGGCGAAAACGGACATCGCCAGCAAGGCCGCAACGAACTGGCCTTGCCAGGGGGGTGCCTTTGAGGGATCCATAGGGGCTCCTTTAAGGGTTCCTTTAGGGTTTAGGGCTTTAGGGGTTTAGGGTTTAGGGTTGGCCTCTCAGGATTTTTGGGCTTCGAGTTTACGACCGACTTGCTGCGTTACCTAGACGGCATACTTTGGAGGTGTTTGGGTTCAGGGGTGTTAGGGTGTTAGGGCGTTAGGGTCTAGTTAGGGTATGGGGTTTAGGGTGTTGGGGTTTAGGGTGTTAGGGTCTAGGGTCTAGTTAAGGTATGGGCTTTAGGGTGTTAGGGTTTAGGGTCCAGAGACCTTAAACCTAGGACCTGAAGCCTAAATATGCAAATACCTGAGCCCTGAACCCTTACAGTCTGCATCCCTACCTGGACCGCCCCTCCCGACTACTCTTTCTTGCAGCCTGAAGCTGCCTCTTAAGGAGGAATGAGAGATCCCTTAAAAAGGGTAGTTGGGGGGTCCAGCAGACCCCTAAACCCTAAAGCGTGAGACCTCTGGCCTCCGATATAGAGCCCGACGACATCTTTGCCACAGTCGAAGACCGCCAACGGACCCAGTACCCTCGCGGGGTTCAAAGCAGCACCGGTGTACTGGCCACCAGAACCTAGGGATTCTAGGGTGTAGGGTTTAGGGTTTAAGCACATAACATAAATGAAGAGGGCTCTGCCTATATAGGCCTTCTCATAATGAAGCCCAGTAGGGGCAGGGATCTCGTCCCGATTCAAAAGCTCACAACCCCCAACCCTAAACACGAAACCCTGGGACCCTAAGCCCTAATCCCCAAACCCCAAAGCCCTGACGTTCTTCTTCTTAAGCCCTAAACCCTAAACCCTAAACCCCTAAACCTAAGCCCTAAACCCTAAACCCTAAACCCTACCATGAACCTGCGCATGACAGCAGCGCGAGGCCCACGGCGAAAGGTGTGTGGCTGCCATGTCCCGGCTTCGCCACGCCACAAGCCTCGGCTTCGGGTTTTGGGCTTATAGGGTTTAGGGTTTAGGGTTTAGGGGTTTAGGATTTAGGGTTTAGGGGTAGCCACAAGCCTCGGCGTAGGGCGTCGAGGCTTAATTAGGGAGGAGTTTAGTGAAGTTTAGTGTTTATAGCTTGTAAGGGTTTAAGGGTTTAGGGTTTAGGGCTTGAGGGCTTAACAATTTAGGCTTAAGGGCTAAAGGGCTTAAAGGTTCAGGATTTCGGGCTTAAGGGTTTAGAGGGTTAGGGTTTTAGGGCTGCTTTGGGGTTTAGGGTTTGTAGTTCGGCTCAGGGCTTTTTGGGCTTATGGTGGAGGGCCGGTCAGGGCTCCTTTTAGGGATCTGTAGGGGCTCCTTTAAGGGTCCTTTTAGGGGGGCGTAGGGTTTAGGCCTTATGGGGTTTCAGACGGTTTAAGGGTTTAGGGGCTTCGGGGATTAGGCCTTATAGGGCTTGGGGTTTAGGGGTTTGAAATTTTCGGAACTAGGGTTTAGGGGTTTAAAGGTTCTGAGTTCTGGTTTAGGGTTTAGGAAGCTTAGGGTTTTCGTAATGGTCTCTTTGAGGGGCAGGTCCAACGAAACAAAAAACGTATAGTCTTCCAAAGCCCAGAAGCATAGACGCAGGAGATCAAAGTGAAGGTCATCACCTGGCTTCAGGCTTCTGAGCTTTGGGGTTTTAGGGTTTCGGGTTTAGGGCTGTTGATTGTGGTCGCAGAGTTTGAAGGCTTTTGGGGTTGTTTGAATTTAGGGTTCCTTTGAGGCTGCGATCATGGCTGAGCAGCTCAACGTCAGTTGCCAGAAAAAGGAAAGGATATCTTATGTCTGCTCGTCACACATCCCTATATTCTTTTAGCTGAATCTAGGCGCCTCAAACCGCCTCCAAACCCATAAACCTTAAACTTAAACCTCAATAGTTTAGGGCCCAAAGGAACGAAGTGCTTCAGTAAGAGCCCAGTCGCACACTCCCAGCCGAAGACCTGTTCATCCGTAAGACCTTCGTGGATAACGCTGCGATCGAAGCATCCCGGGCCGCTTCCTTGGTTTTGTCCCAACACGCACTTGACAAGACACCGAGGGTCGGGGCTTAGGGTTCCAGGCTTTGGGTTTAGGGGCTAGGGATCTCCTTAAGGGTTTAGGGCAAAGGGTCTAGGGATCTCCTTATGGATTTAGGGCTCAGGGTTTAGGGTTCAGGGTTTAGTTTAGGGCCCTTATGGGTTTAGGGTTCAGGGTTTAGGGCCCTTATGGGTTTAGGGTTCAGGGTTTTGGGCTTAGGGGTTTAGGGTCTAGGGGTCCCCTTATGGGCTCAGGTTTTCGCTTCCCCTTAACACTGAGCCGGGTTAGGGCTTCGTAATACGCTGAACAGCAAGGCTTAAAAAGAGTCTGAGGTTGGGGTTTCATATTATTGCCGTAACAGCAAGTCATATATAGTTATATAGATATATAGTTATATAGATATATAGATGTATAGCTATATAGTTATATAGATATATAGATATATAGATATTTACTTCTATAATAAATAGTTATATAGTAAGGCTTAATTACTGGGCTTGGGGTTGAGGGCTGCGGGTCTCCAATTTCTACTGCTTTTCAGTCTGAGTCAATTGAACCCCCCCCAGACAAAATCAGAAAGGGTAAAATACAAAGGAATTCTCAACACCCCCTAACCCCTAAAGCCTAAGCCCTACATACCCAAAAGCTTAGGCCCTAAAGCCCTAATATAACGCAAAACCTTAGGGCCTATAAACCCTAAAAGCCCAAAAGCTAATGCCCTATAAGCCCGAAAAACCCAAAAGCTTAGGCACTATAAACCCTAAAAAGCCTTAGGGCTTAAAGCCCCTCTGAACTCCGAGCTGCCGCCGGTGCCGATGAAGTCGGCGGCGCCAGGCACCAATCCGGCTGACACCCAAGCTCCGACGATGGCTCCGATGATCTGGAGAGTAATGTAGATGACCTTTGCTGGTTCCCTGTTGAGACCTTTTTTACAAATCAGCATTGTTAATCTTTATTAGGGTAATACAAATTATATAGATGACCTCTACCCTTACCCTCAAAGGACTCATATTTTGAGGCTTTTGGGCCCAAAGACCCTACTGTATAAGGCTTTTGGGCTATTTTGATGCTAAAGGTTAGGGTTTAGGAGAAATTTAGATAACCTTTACTTGGAGGTTCATAGGTTTTTTCGGGTTTGGGGTTTAGGGTTCTGTGGAAAACCAGGACCCTCCATGTACCCTCAAATAGGGGTATATGGTCCCAAATAAGGGGTATTAAGGGTCTAACAGAGGGTAGATCGAGGGTCTAGGTAATGTAGATGACCTTTAGGGTTTACCCATAGGCCCCTTAGCAGTTTCTTCTTGGGCTTATATTTAGAATCCTATAAGGTAATCCCAAAAAAAGACACTACTATGGAGCCTCTGGGTTATGTGGATGTTCTTTACTTGGAGGTTCATGGGTAGTTATAAGTCGGGCTATAAGTAGGGTAACTATACTTATAACCCATATTATGGGAATTACAGCTCTACTTATGACTACCCTTGAACTTCCAAGTAGGGCTTAGGATTTTGGTTGAACGTCTTTCGGGTTTGGGGTTTAGGGATGTTTAGG